TAAGAGACTTAGTAGAACCTCAGCTTGTTAGAGCTTGAGAGAGTGGACGTAGATTTGGATAGCAAGTTAAACCATTATAAAAGAGTTTGCATCTTCTATCCTTACTCTTTTACTTTATTTATAATTGTTTATATTACTTTGGGTGAATTTTATTTTTCAATCTTTAAAAAAAATTTCATTTAGTTTCTGGGAAAAATACCAATTCACCCCCCCTATTAGGTTGCCTTTTGGACAACATTAATGACTTCGATCTTGGAGATGAATCAATTAGCGGTAGGCAAACAGTGAATACATTGTCAAGCGTTGCAACATGAGGGCCATCCTTCTCCATTGAGTGCTACACATGAGGCCCAGCCTTCTCCGTACAACACAGTAATAGGGGTCAACTTTCATCATTGAGTTCTACACCTACCCATATTGATGGCCACTTACTCACCCAATCATTTCATGATGGGTAGACCTTATTACACTCAATCTAATTTTATTATTTAGTCCTAACTTATCTACATATTAGTACAACTAAATTTAATTCATTTTTTATTTGGTAGCTTTATTCCTAAGAGTGTCACTTGCCAATAATGACTATTCTTAGGAGGTATGTGAGGCCATATACAATGTGAGAGATAGTTTCTTGTGAAAGTAAGGACAACCTTTTTGATAAATTTAAAATGATACTATAGATCCAAACTATTATTTATTCTAAATAATAATTATCTCCAAATGACATATTTGTAATTTTATAAAATTATTGTAATTATGATAAGAGTAGTACACGTGATTGCCATACCATGATGTAAGTGTATGACATTCATGGGAGCAAATCTACAAACAAAATTACAAGAACACAATTCATAGAATTAAGAAAGTAGTAATCCAGGAAGTTAGGAGTGATGACACATGGGATCTAATGAGGGTTGTGCCTAATACATGCTCTCATGTGACTGGAAGACAGTGTGTAATGGTGGATAAATGCATCAAATTATCAGAATAAGTGCATAAAGGTTAGAGAGAATAGATTGATTGAGAAAGATGGGTCAATTGTCAAGTACATTGGCAATTCCATTTCATTTGTTGAGCACAAACGTAGAATGTTAAGTTTCCTTACCATAGTCACATTTATTATATTTATTTATATAAATTATTTATTTAATAGATTAATACACTAGGAAAAAGGTGGTATGAGGGCTAGCTAAATTGCTGTCATGATCGTACTCACAGGAGAAAATAAGGAATAGGTGATTACATCGACAATAAGTCTAAGAGGGTTTGAATAAGTTTTTTGATGCTTAATTCACAATAGATTAAAATTTATTAGTGTAATTTTTACTCAGTGGATGATCTATTATGGTACTACTTTCCTGAAAAATGATTATACATTTGATTTTTGAGTATAAGCAAGTCTATTACGAAAGATAGACCATTAAAATTTGAACTAGCATACCCCCTTCTTTTTCTCCTCTTTTGATGAGCAGAATAGTAGTTTTTTTCTTTGCCACTGGACCTATTATATTATGTGAGTCTTAACTTTGAATGTAACTTAATTTACATTTCACTTTATATACTCTGTTTAAGCAAATATGTTGCCAATAACTTCTAATATCTATTATATGCAATTGAACTAAGATTTGCTTAACTAAATAGAATTGTGCTTGCAATTGAACCAATCAATACTTGTGAGACTTAGGCTTATACTTGCTTCAATAAATGGAGATATATGCATATAAATGAATAAAGATATGCTTGTAATTAAACAAGGCTCTACTTGTAACTATATAAAAGTGTCCTTGTAACTATAACAAATCGATGTTGTAAGACATAGTCTTAGATTTGATTGAATAAAAGGAGATATATGCATGTAACTAAATAGTGATGTACTTATGACTAAATAAGACTTTGTTTGTAACCACACAAAATTGTGCTTGTAACTAAATGCATTGATACATGTAAGCCTTAGGTTTGGTACCATAAATAGAGAGATGTGCATGGAACTAAATAGAGATATGCTTAAAAATAATTGAGATTTGCTTGTAACTAAACAAAACCCTGCTTGTAACTCAACTCATCAATGCTTGGAGTTACAAACATCGTCTTTTCAGGTTATAGACATTGCTTTGTTTAATTACAAGCATAACTTTGTTCAATTACAAGCATGGTTCTGTTTAGTTTAGGTAGATTTCGGTTGAGTTATAAGCACGATTCTGTTTGCTTACAAATAGATCTCAATTCAGTTTAAGCACATCTTCGTTCAATTACATGCACGGCTATCCATTTATGCCACCAAATCTAAGGCTAAGTCTTATACACATTGATTGGTTTAGTTACAAACATAGTTCCATTCGATTACAAGCAATTAGTTGTGCACTTATGAATGAAGTTACATTTTCAAGTAGAAGTTATTTGATATATATGTTCTAAAATGCTTTCTTACCATCATATATTTTTTTTATTCATTTATTTAAGTCTTATCATTATGTATGGGTAATGCGATTAGTTGTGATTGATTTTAATTTACAATAATTGTATACTTGTCAATAATTTATTTTTAGGAGAAATGTGAGCAGTCATATAGTAGTTATTATGGAAGCCGTCCCAATTTAGAGAGTTCATTTGATGCACAGAAATGTCTTTCAATTAATGGTGGGACTTGCAAGAATCGAATTTATAGGTTTGGAAACACCTATCATTGTAAAAAGCTTGCTTCTATTGACACTTCACTGAGTCCATCACCCACGGCACCTCATGTTAAATATATTAGTTCAAATCAATTGCTAAAGGCAATTGCTAAAGCACTTGTAGAGTAGAGGTAAGCAGTTCCATCAAGAAAGGCACAAGTGCTTGAGGAGACAAAGAAATTAGTAAAAAAGACAATGCAAGCCAAAAGGAAGGCTATGATGGCTACAATAGCTTTAATGATGGAAAAGTTTAATACAATGCAAAGTGTATCATCAAGCCAAATGATAGGAGTGAAGACGGTAGCCAATGGTGAAATTGTATTTGAACAATGTGATGCTTAAAAACTTTACATTCTCATTTCATTTTTTATGTTCGAAAATAGTTACCAAATTATATTATTAAAATTTTTGACATTTGAAATTAATTGTATTTTGATATTTAATTACTTTTCATGTATGCTTGTGATGAATTAAATTTAAAATGATAGATATACATTATAGGAATTACAAGAATTGAAATGATTGATATGCATTATAGGAATTGAAATGGTAGATATGTATTACAGGAATTATAAGACTAGTGACCCCTAAAATGAGTCACAAGGAGGTCATAAATTTAGTAATCCTATTGTGACCCATACACAATTTTGATTATAAGGTTAATGGGATCACCAATTACTAACCAACTAATGACAGAAAAATAGGAGTTACTAATTAGTTACCGCATATAGTGTGACTAATTTGTTCCTAATTTTTTGCAATATCCATCACTAATAAGTGACGGCATTAGATATTGCAGTTTTGTGATCACTAATTACTGACCGACTGTTTTGTGGTCGCTAATTAGTGACTGATTGTATGTAGCCATTACGGTCACTAATTAGTAACTGCCAATCCTACGGTCACTAATTAATAACCGATGTTATAACCCAGTGAAATAAAATAATTAGTGACCCATCTTAAGAGATTAGTGACTGATTTGGTAGTTACTAATTAGTGACCGAAGTTCTGCTAGTCACTAAAAATGATTAATGATAAGACATTCAATGACCAAATTGATTAGTCACAAACGCAATCACTGGTTCATTTTTTGATCGTATCTCTTTGTGTTTAGTGACACAGCTACAATCACTAAATCCTTTTTTTTTTTTGGTCGTGTGATTAGGTACCTCATCGTTTTAACCATTTGATTGGTCGTAGCTTGTACTAGTCAATGATGAATCTAGAACTAAAAGAGATTCCCCAGTTGTCCTGTATCTTACCTTTTTTCGCACCATTCATAACTAGAACAAATACTCTAATACAAAAAATTATAATATGTTTGAATTTTTAAATAATTATTAAAAAATCCAATATAATTGAAAATGGCAAAAGTGCAGGTGAAAATGATTTCAAGAAAAAAAAAAAAAAAAAACAAATCATTTGTCTTTCTTTAATGGAGGAACCCTATTTGGTAAACCTGAATATCCTAGTGACAATGACATTGTTGGAAGTAATAGGAGCAGATGTTGACGCAAAGTCCATCAATCTCAAGTCAGTAGGCTTTTTTTGGTTACCGAGGTTGTGGTTCTTCACTTTCTTCTTCTCTCCACGTGTTCAATTTCTAGAATTTACTTAAAAATTTTAATTTTTAGAGTGTCTTTCAAGTGCTCTTCTTAATGGAATAAGTCTCCTATTTACATTGAGGAGTCTTTTACGTGGTGAGATTCTCCAATTGAAATAAACTCTCCAAACATTAAAGTTTGTACCTTGAAACAACCTGATTTTTTTTTCCAACGCAAACAAACTCAATAATACTTAATGCAAGATTGAGATTAAACAGTCATATTGTCAATAATGTTTGTTTTAAAAAACTATGGAAGTTAACAAGTTTGGAAACCCCTCCAACGTTGCTTTGCTTTCACTTCCTTTCCCAAAATTTCAACCTTAGTCAGGCATAAATACTTCACGTGCAGTTGCGCCCGCATGCGTGGATGATATAAGATGCACCCTCACTAGATAAGAAAGTCCTTCACGCAAGTGTAGTAGTTATATATGAAATTAATGGAATCCAAATTCTCAAAAATCATTTTAATTGTTGCTTCATTTTGTTAAATCTATAAACCTTGAGATCAAAATATATAAAAGAAAGATGGAAAATATATTTAAATTAAACTTTCACTTATAATGTATACAAGAACAGCTACAAATTCACGATACATAATTCATTAAACTTAGGCTTCACTGGTCATTATCCATGGAAATACAGAAATTCCCTCGACTTCTTATTTCTTTATTATATATGTAAACATCTAGTCACCCTTCTTCCCTCTTCACCGTGAGGATGCCTCAAACTCTGCACACACATATAAAATGTTAAATCTTAAATTTCAAAAAGTTGGTCAACTAAATAGACATGCTTTTAATCTATTAATGCAACCACAGAAACCTACTTCACAAAGAGAGAGAGGGACTTACTGGGTATACTCAATACGGATCTTGCCGGCGTTTGGGTCAGCAATTTGGGAGAAAGCTTCTTGAGAGAGATCAATGGTGCCTTGGCAACCCGGAGGACAGTAGTCCACAATCGTCACTACCACGCTTTGGCCTCGACATGGCTGCGGCACCCTGGTGTCGGCACGCTGATGCTCAATGCAGCTCACTCTATATCTCCGCCCACACGCCGCCCTGTTGCCCCATATGGCGTCGCTTGCTGCGGCTATCATCACCCCGTTGTTCTGGTAGCCATTGCATGACGAAGCTGCATTTTCAGGGAGAAGAGAGAGAGAGAGAGAGAGAGAGAGAGAGAGCGTTATAGATCATCGTGCAGTGCGGCTTGAATAAAGTCGAAGTTAGATTCTTCAATTTGTTACGTGGCATGATTTTACAAGTTTATCAATTTATGAATTTTAAATCTCACAAAATCAGAAAAAGTTCAAAGTTGAGATTTTGTAGATTTTAGAGTTTACATGCGAGATCTTATCTTATGACTTTTGTAAGTTTTTTAATCGAGAAGCCAAAATCATATGCAAAGCATCAAACCCCATGTTGACGCTATTTGTTCACGTTAAACTATTTATTTAAAAAGTAATTACTAACAAATGAATAAGAGAAATTATTAACAAATGAATAAGAGGAAAACTGTTGATTTGGTTAAAATTAATGTATGATATTAATTTTATTAATTAAAAATTGTTAAAAAATAAATATAAATTAATATCATTTGTTAATTTTGAACAAATCAATAGTATGTGATATGGTATAAGTGTCTTGTATTTATATTAGATGTCAATTGATTCTTTCTTGATGAACAAATTTAAATTTAAAAATGATTTCTTCTTATTCTTAAAAATCAATGACAAGAGAGCTGATGAACAAAAATCTCTTATTCCTGTTATAAAATTGTGTTGAATTCACATATATTTGATAAAGAAAATAATATTTTCCTTTGAAATTAATTAAAAAAATAAAAAAGTGTTCAATTGAAACATAAAAGCGCAAGTGAATAGGTCCAATTATACTTTGAATTTAAAAGAATGAAGACAAATGTAAAATATGATTATAGATGATGTGTGTGTTTGTTTGTTTTTTTATGGTAGTATGTGCTTATTTTAACTTGCTTATTAACCTTTCTTTTTCTTAAAAAATTTAATAACAAATAAACCAAAAAAATTTAAAACTACAAAAAAATAGAGTTGGATGCTAAAATAAATTTTAAGCACAGCCAAACATTCTTCCTAACTTGAATCTGTTTATAATGAGATGATAATAAATAACAATAAACTAAAACTTCAGGGGGGAAAAAGAAGAAGAAGAAGAAGGGAAGAATAAACACTCGTTTAAAAAGGATCCTAATTTTGCAGTTTCAGCACTTTATTTATAACTTATTTATTTAAATCAAACTAATTAAATGATAAAAATAACCAATGAATTAATTAATTAATAGTGGTTTTTTTTTAACGTAATAAATAGTAAAACATGAAACTCACGGACATAAGGAGGGGTGTAGAAAGTAGCAGTCCCCTCAGCTGCATTTGCCACTGCGGCAAGGCACCCCGCCGTGCCCGCCACCACCACCACTAGAACTGTCACTCCAAATCCCATTTTCTTTCTTTTTTCTTTTCCTCTTCCAAACACCTAAATCAAATTGCACAGAGTGAATGAAAAGGGGGAGCCCCATTTTATAGAGGAAGAAGGGCCAACTGCAAGAGGACAATTAAGCAAGCTTTAACATCGGGTAAAACAACAAGGCATTAAGTTGTAAAAGAAAATTAGAATTTCTGCAGTATATTATTTTTAACCCATGGTTATTTTAAAATCTTAATTATTTCTAATTTTTAAATTATTTTTATTAGGATTTATCACTGAATTTTAGGTATTAATTGGGTCAAATAGATGATTTTGGTATTGATTTGGTGCAAATATTCTCTTTTTTGGTAATTTTGTGACTTATGCCCATTTATTAGTTGATTTTGTATAATAATTGTAGAATTATTGATAGGAGATATTTGACCCATATGCGAAAGGTATGAGAGTTTGATAATACAAAAATGAGAGTTTGATAATACAAAAATTGAATAAAAAATAACTAATGAGAAGACATGAGAATTATAACCTGAAACAATTAATTCAGTTACACAAGTGAATATAAAATAAGGAATTAAGATTGGTATTCAAAAGCCTACCACAAATAATTCTTTCTTTCTTTCCAGCAACCCAGAAAAAAGTAATAGATTTGTATAATCATTATAAGAGTGAAAAGATGTAAAATCATTCTTGCACTGAAGAAATGATTTAACTATTTATTTACAAATTCAGATATCTAATCATAAAAAGATTTTTGAGTTGGACTTATATTGTAACTATTCCAATAGCTCACAACAGAGTGTGTACTGCTTATCATATAAAATCTAAATAATCGAATCACTTGATATAAATTTGAATCATATATTTTAACATGCTTTTTATTAAAATAAAATTAATAAATTAACTTTAGCTTATTAAAGTTTATTTAACACTTTTGTCAAATTGAAAGGCTTTGATTTGAAAGAATTTTGTAAAAATTTAATAATATTTTTTTTGTGGAAGGTTTCCAAGGCATGAAAAGAAAAGAGAGGACTGGACAAAAGTAGACCCACAAGCACGTTAGCCTACGAGACAACCTTTCCTGTGGCCGAAGACTTTAGGAAGAAAAAAAGACTTCTGCTGCAATTGTCAAGCTTGCTACAAAATGAAGAGAAAAAGGAACGGGAGTAAAAAAAAAAAACACTGCTAAATTTTCTCAGAGTTTTTATTGTCTTATTTTTTATTTTACAAAATTATAGAATTTTTTAATGTTTTATAGATTTTGATTTTTGTTTTTTGAAGACATGAACTACATTCTATTTTCCAGAATTACAATAAAACTCGCATATAGACTAATATTTTAAATTTAATTCTACTATGATGATGTCATATTTGAACTATTTATTCAGCTCTTTTTTTTATTACTTTCAATTGCTTGATCAAGAATTGAATAGATTTGGAAATTAGATTGACTCTTGACCAATAAAAGTTCAATTTAAACCTTAAGTTGCATAACCTAATTTTGATTTAATTGTATAGATAAATAAATTGTCATGTGTAAAATAGTGTTGGAAAAACAAACACATACATATAGCAGAAGTGGAAAATATAACTCAAGTGAATTTTATATACTCAGTTAATTAGATGTCTACTTTACAATTTTTATGTACTCTCACGTCATGAGCGCACGTACTTTTACCCTTCTAGTTGTTGTAAAATGGCTACTAGAGTCAGCCATCATATTTACTACACATTCGAAATCTCTAAGTTTAGAGATGGCGCCTCTCAGGAAACCTCATATCTTTAGTATATCACCTACACACCAAAGAAAATAGTAACCTTGGGTCTATTTATAATAATAACTATCAAGAGATAAGTTTTATCTCTTAAGTCAACTTATCACAACTAATAAAATAATTTTTTTCAATAGATATTTCTCAGCTAGTGAGATTTTTATCTTCAATTTATCTCAACTAATGAGTTATTTATCACAAGTAACAAGAGGAGAAATTATCTAAGTTTAGGAATAATCAATAATTAATAACAAAATATTAATTATGTTAATTATTTCACATATATGCTTATGTGGACACACCACATGGCACAAATTGACATCTCCCACTGTACACATTAGGCATCCATACTCTTAATCTCAAAGTGCTTAGTTTTTCCTATCATATTGGAAAATGGAACGTGCAATCAAACGAGAAAAGTATTGTAATATCCTTAGACAAATCCCACATTAACAAAACATGGGAGTGATGATGGGTTCATGGGTATCCATGCTTTAGTCTTTGGCAGGTGTGTTTTAAAACCGCAAGAGTCTCGGTTCAAAACGCACAATATTCACCAAAGGGCTAGGCTATTAACGGTATCGATGAGGATTGTTTATATTAAGCTACAAGCTAACTAACATAACATCACTCGAGTTGTCAATATACCCCAAATAATTTAATCACTTCAGTGTTTGCATCTCAGATCCCTTTATTTAAAGCCATGCATAATCTCTACATGCATTTAAACTTTGGATTACTCTAAAACAAATAATGTTTACATAACCACTAGCCAAATTTATGAGTTTCAAATCATAAACGTGATATCCAATGACTTTTTCTTAGGTACTCATGTTGATCCACAAAGTTTTGGCTGCTTTCTTAGTTGCATTATGCTAGATTGCATTAATTATCTTGGCCTTTGGATGATGTGCTAAAGTAGTAACACCAATTCTAAATTTCTCAAGATATATCCAAGTTCTAAAGGATACAATTTTGGATTTTTAGTCCATAAGGCTCGCACTATGATGAAGAAGGGATTTATCCTATCACACCCTTAATCGATCGCATCACAGCACATACATATTGAAATATATACTATGGTGGAGCTCCCACTTAGGTTTGTCATGCCCTATATTACACCATATGGAACAAGGTCAAGTCATTCCACAAAGTAACTCAAGTCAAGTCATTCCATAAAGTAACTTACTTGAATCACCAAGATTCAAATCTAGCTATATATAGGCTACATGGAGTTCGTATCATAAGTGGCGTATGGTACAATAGAATCCTATCAAGAAAATGGAAATGAGAATGAGAATCTTAAAAAGATATATTTGGTAAACATTTTAGAATGAGAATCCTCATTCTCTAGGAAATCTGGATTCCACCAAATGAGGGAATCCAGATTCCATCCCTTGATAAAAATCTTCACTTGGGTATATAATCACTATAATATCCTTGACTTTTTAAGTAAATGACAAAAACATCTTATACATATAAAAAATTATAAATATTTTATATATTATAATTATAAATTTATTATGTTTATATAATCTAATATATACATATATAACTTATTATATATATACATATAAGCACACATGTATATGAATTTGATATTTTAATGTTAGAATAAAAAATTAATTTTTAAATTTTTAATATCTTCAGAATATATTAGAAGTAAATTTTTAAATTTCTAAATCTTTATAACAAATTCCATAAAATTTTCAATCGTACTACATGCCACCTATATGTTCAACTTTTGTAAGTCTCATCTTATCATTTATTTCAGGCAATGTATAATTCAATATTTAATCCTTATTTTCAACTCATGTAATAAAGAGATCATTAGCCATTTGGTACCTGGTGATTCTTTAAGTCCATCCCACTCACTACTAAATTGTCAGGGTAATTTCTCGTGTGAAAGGGACAATCTAAAACCCTAGTGGCAACTAATCATTGATATGTGCAAAAACTTCAATTTACTATGCAAGTCACAAATATTAGAAAACATGTTTTATTTATTGTAATAGCAAACAA